CAGAATGAAGCAGGTGGGTTAACAACAATTAAAAACTCCAGAATGACATTAGATCCATTAGGTAATCTCTGGTTTTCAAATGTAACTAGACATGATACTAGTGATGGCTCTACATATTATTGTTATGTTGAATCGTTGACGATGTATGTATATTTTTATAGTACAAAACATAATGTATTAAAAAGCTGATTAATGTAACCTTACTTATCATAATTATTAGGAACGAGTATAGATTAGGAAACCCTATACATTTGACTGTTATTCAAACTCCAGAAACATCAGTACAAAATAATTACCCACTTTCTGCACAATATTTATCTAGATCAAATGAAGTTGCGGTATTGGGTCAAAAAATAGAACTGTTTTGTATTTATGGTGGAACGTAAGTGATGTTACATCTGTATTTATAAAAATTTATAATGTATTAGTTTATATTTGTCTTGTATTTTTAAATTTATACTTGCAGTCCTTTACCTGATACTTTTTGGTTAAAAGATGGCAATTTTATACAATTTAATGATAGAGTAAGCCAGGAGAATTATGGCAAAAGTTTACTAATAAAGAAAGTTCATTATGAAGATAAGGGAGTATATACTTGTGAAGTTAGCAATGGTGTGGGATCACCTGGATCATATGATATTATGCTAGATGTTATGGGTACAATAATTTTTATATTGGTTAATAATTCAATTAAATATATTTGTTACATAAAATTTTTTTATTGAAAATTAATCAACAGTTGCACCATATTTTACTGTGGTTCCTCAAATCGTTGAAGCAGCTGAAGGAGAAACTGCAGTTATTAAATGTGAAGCGAGTGGTAATCCAGAACCTACAATTAAATGGATTCATAATGGTCTACCATTAAGTGAAGCATGGCCGAATTCCAGACGTTCAGTTACTTCTAATTCTATTACGATTACTGCGTTAACTAAATATGATACTGGAAATTATGGTTGTAATGCAACTAACAGCATTGGATATGTTTACAAGGATGTTTATATTAATGTATTAGGTATATTATTAATTATTATTTATCTATATCAGAACTATTATGATTTCTTTTTACCTAGTATATTAACTTTTTGTATATTAGATTTAGTTCCTAAAATCACTGAGACTGATCTATCAAACGAGATAGAAACTATCAATGACCGTGCTTCAACCATTGAAAGCATAGATTTTGGGGTGCTTAAGGCATATCTTAAGAGTAAAAGAAACAATATGAAATTATTGGGTGGACGTTATTCAGTGCTGGGCAAAGGCGAATTGCAATTAATATATCCAACTAAAGGGATAAATCAAATGTACTACAAAATCAAGTCATTTGCCATTTATGCACACCAAAAGGGTAAATTAAAAATTATTAACTGTTATAACTTAAGTTTTAATTCCTAATTTTTTTTAGATTCTGTTGAGACTCCTTAAGATTTAACTGCATTGAATATTACTGAACTACAATATTAAGTTAAGAACTTGTTTTACCTTATTCTATAAAAGGTAATTTTGAAGTCTAAAAAAAAAAAATATGTATGTTTTAGTTGATTAGCTTAAGTAATAATTGTATGCACATACCTGTGTATCCATTAGATTAGTGGAATAATTAATAATTAAGCTACTTAAATTAGTTTAAAAAAAAAAAAAATAGTATTTAATAAATATTATAAAAATAATGTATTACAATTTTAAATTAATTTTTAAGCTTAAAAATATGTAGGTATTAATAAAAAAAAAAATAAAAATGACTAGTTACTAAGTTTTGAAGAATATTTTTTTTCTGTAGATGTATTAAAATATTAGTTAATAAGTATATAAAAATAAGTTTTTGTCAAAAAAATTAATAAAAAAAATTATTTTAAAACACAATATTATATGTACTTATATTACATAAACACACTTTAATTGTAGAAAATATCTCATTTTTTAAACATATTTCAATATAATACAATTAACCACAATTCCACATAATATTTAAAATTAATTTGGTAACCTGGCTGATATGAATCCATATTAAATTGTAAATACCTACTTCGTAACAACGAGCAGTAATTAACCATGTTAATTATTTACAGTTTAAACATTGAATCATAAATATGTTTAGTAACTAATAGATGGACACAAAAAGGACATCACAATGAATACATGATCATTATATAAGATTTATAAATCTGGAAAACCAAATTTTGTACACATATTATTTAAGATTCAAAAATTTTTTGCTTCAATTTTCAACCATTAGCTTTTAGTTGTTGACACTAAATATTGATTTAAATCAACTTTTTGTCTTGATTTATGGATTTGCTTTTTTTGATGTGACCAAAAATTATTTTTAATTAGTTGTAATATCATTACAATTAAGTTTTATTTACTATAGTACCTACTCACTGTTATTTATTCTAATGACTAATAGTTATCTCTTAATTGTTATTACATATTAGTTATTAGTTACCTTAACATCATGTTACTTCATTAATGAATTATTATAAATTTAGATTGTATTCTATTTTAAAGTGATGTCTTATGACATGAATATTAACCTATAAATTTGTTTCTTATTAAGCGAAAAGGTATTTGTTTGTATGTATGTATGTATGTATGTAATATTTATTATAATTTTAATTGGTTAATCCAGTAGGTAACAAGTTATAAGTATCATTTAAGGTTATAATTATATTTTATTATAACATTAATTGTTAATTTATAATATTATTCATAAAATAATAAATAATAATATAAACAGGTTAGTAGAATAAATGTGATGTTGTGAACATTTATAGTTAAAATAATTTACTAAGAGAAATGATTAAAAATATGATTCAATGAGAACTTAACTATGATATTGACATACAATTTAAATGATTATCTAGTCAAAAGACTACTTTCGCAATAATCAGAATCATCAACTTAGATACAAGAGCAGATCAACATTTAAATAGTTTGCAAGTTGCATTAATCTAATATAAGCTTTATTGTGTTACAAAAAACAAAAATAAAAATAATTATTTTGGATAATGAACTCTAGGATTTAGTAATAGATCTAAATACATGATTTATTTTAGAATTGTATTGATTGAAATAATACTATATCAATTTTTGTGTCCTCACAGCTGTTCAAAACGCATATATACATTTTAAATAGGTAAATCCAATTAAACTATCTTTACATTTTGAGAATAAGTTAAATGTATACTATAGAATGCAGTACAGTACAGAAATTATTCAATAACATTTGTATCAATATAATTATTTATACTAAGCTGTTCTATTGAATTTATCAAATACAAAATGTTGTCAATTTGGTATCGAAAAAAGTTGTGTAAATTTATTAATGTAGGAATAGTATTTCTATATGCCATGATGTTTTAAAAGATATAAGATCTACATATATTTGTATAATCTTTATAGTCTGTGGTATTAGCCATAAATAAAATATTTTATGAAGAAAAAAAGTTACAGAACACGAGTACTTAAACATATTGTTAATTCCACACGTCTACATTGTTTAAGGTTTTAAAGTTTTGAATGTTAAACACTTACACATTATTATGCTATATTGAATGGAAAAAAAAAAAAATAATGTATCCAAAAAAAATAAAATAAAATAAAAATATAATAAATTATTAGATAGAACAAAAAATTTAAATTATGAATTCATAAAAAAAAAAATGAATGTATAACTTTATTATAAAAAAAAAAAAGAATGTGCAAATAATTAAATAAAAATATTTGTAAGTACATAAAAACAAATTTTTATTTAATAAGATAAATAAAAAAAAAATATTTTAAAAATTACTGTATGTACTGATATTAATTGTATTCTTTTATATTAACATTATTTACTAAACAATTTCATAAGATCACTCAGCACTCTGCAAGCCAAATAAGACTAGGTTTATAGTTTACATGACATTTTTATGGTTGGTACAACATATAAAGTTATGTGATCAATTCTCGAATACATTACCTCGAGACTCGTCTGAATATTAGAGGAAGGTAATACTGAATTATTATTTATTGTGTAACTGGCGAGTGATAAAATTTTTTTAGAACTCGAAGTGTAGCGAATCATCCGGATAATACCCTTAACGGCCTTAACTTGTTCGAACTTTTATCTAAAAATGTTTACATTATTTAAATTATTAATGACCGTTATATATCTATACATTATATCAGTATTGTTCAAAAACTTGCTCGTGCGAAAAATCATCACAATATTAAACAGTTATTCACATCGTCAACCACACGCACTGTAAAGGAACAGTTTACCTGCAGCGTTTGGATAACTACGGTGTTTAGCTTCATCCATCAGCCCTCCCAACAAAGTCTGGACGTGTCATCGTGACAACCTTACGAAGGATGTCAGTACTATTGGAACTATGCGTGAGTTCCGAGTATGAAAATCTATTTTTTTTCTCGTTTTCGCATACAATGATATATATTGGATTATTATTCAATACACCTTACACATTCCGTAATGGATATATACAACAATGCTGCAATAGTGATCAAAGTTCGAACTATCAACTTCCTACCTTTTTTGTGACTATATATTTTAAATTTAAACTAATAAAATTAATAGGTACTAAAAATTGCGTAAAAAAATAATTATAAGCAGTAAAACGCATTGTATAATATGACACTGTACGGCTGTGTATATTATGTATCTCATATGTAAATAATTATATATTAATTTATCATTATAATATGATTAAAAAATCATAGCCATTAGAAGTAAAATCAATGTGTGGTTATAATGAGAGATTTTTGTTGAAATTCTTAAAGGAAAAACATATTTTCGCGGTTCAAAAAAACAGTGTTGACAAACGCGTAAAACGGATAAAAAGAAATTTACCAAATAATACGGATGCACTGTTTAGTGGATATTCATATATCTCATTGTAACGTTAGGTGTTAAATTTTATCCAACCAATGCATGACACTTCAAAAATGTGCTTTTCATTGGATGTCGATTCTAGATTTCAGGTTATTCTTTGTTCAGCGTCGTGGGTGTTCGGTTGTTAAATTTCACCAAGTGAGAATATAATAAAAATATATTTTAATAATTGTCAAGGTATTTTTATAAAAGTTTTTTAATTTTGCAATTTTCATGTTATATTAAGAAATTAAAATAAATAACTTTATACATTTATATTGTTTTAGCATTTAATCAATATATTTGGAGTTTAACAACATGAAAATGTACAGTATTTACATGCATTTATTGTGCTTTGCTGAATTTCTTATAACAGCTTCATCTATATGTAAGTACCTACATACATCAATTTTTGTAAAATAAAAGTATGAATATAATTTTATTAGATACACAATGTAGATTAAAAGACATTACAACTTGTAAGACATTTGATTTATTTTCATTGTTTTTATTTGTAATTTGTGATTTTATTTTAACCTTAAACTGAAGTAAAAATAATACATTTGATTTTTATACTGTATAAATATTTCATAAAGATTTCCCTTGTAGTGTTTAAAGGTTTCACTTGTACTATTTTTAACTTTTGAGAAATGACCATTGTTTGAGTTTCAAAATCAATAATTTTTTTATTTATATGAAAACTCAATAAATATTAATTAAATTTTAAGTAGAAAAGACAACAATAACCATATTTTTAAAAGAAATGTATTATAATCAAAGAGACAGATCAACGTTTGTACAAGTAATTTGTTGTTCCTTAAATTGAATACCTATTAACATGAAAAATCAGAATTCAAACGTGTAAATAGTTTGATAGAACGTTGTTTATTAATAAATGATATTTTTATGTGTTACTCATTTATATCCTCATAATGATCAAATAATTGTAATTGTAGATCAATGTCCACCAAGAATTGTCAAAGAGCCATCTACAGATGAATTAATATTACAAAAAGCCATTATTGAAAATCAAAACTTTAGACCGTTTGTAATTGATTGTGAAGCAGAAGGAGAACCTGCTCCAAAGTATTATAAATTATAAAATAAATATTTAACACTTAAATTTCTAAAAATAAATATTTAAAATTTTTATGATAGGTATCGATGGATGAAAAATGGTAAGAATTTTGATTGGCAGGCATACGATGAAAGGATAACTCAACAACCTGGCAGCGGTTCATTAACAGTTACCGAACCCAGAGATGAAGATCTCGGTATGTTTGTTTTTATTTATATGTCGGTTATAAATTTTAATTAATCAAACTACTTTATGTTTTACAGGACAATATCAATGTTTTGCAGAAAATCTTTGGGGTACGGCTACTTCTAGACCTGTGATGGTTGTAAAGGCTGAATTAAATTCGTTTAAAAATGAACCAATACTCTATGTTGAAGTTATAGAAGGTGATACACTTGAACTTGATTGTAATCCTCCTACTGGATATCCTAAGCCAAATGTTTATTGGCTTATAAAAGTAAATACTCAAAAAA